CCGTTCTGAATCATTCTGTATAATAAGAAAGCGCACACGTGCCTGTCGATTTTTACGAAGATGCATGTCCAGCGGTCAACGCGTTACTCATGCTCAGGATAAGAAAGCCGCTTTAAGCGCCAATTAAGGTCATTATTGTCAGCCGACAGCGGCCGTAAACGTGCCGCTCGCGCGATTTTATGTCGGTACCGATGTTACGACGAATCGACTTGCCTGATGTTCGACGACACCAACGTTCCCCTTGTTCGGGAGACGAAATCACTATAAAAATATACGTGACGACAACCGCATTTTCAGTTGGTTATACGAGCTGGAATTGCCTCATTGTAAGTCTATGATGTCATTTTAGATAATACCGCAAGAACAATTCGAGTAAACTTATTTTCGTCTTGTTATAAAGCAGTCTGTCCGGAATGCAAGATAAGGAAATCGATTGTGCAAATATATTATACTAAGAAAAAATATTTTACATTTTAATGAACATTTATTTGAATTGTGCCAACTAAATATTTTCTTTCTACAGTAAATAAATATTTACTCAATAAAAGAAATGATCAAATCAAATTAATAATTCCTCTATCAAATAAATATATTTTTATATTTATTTTAAAAATTTAGTTGCACTATATTCAAATTATTTATTAAATTTAGTTTTTTCAGTAAAATTTTTTTTTTCAGCGTAAGAAAACAATTTATTACCTAGAAAAGTCGAAGTTGCAAAACTTGAAATGAGAGTCCGCATTTATTTTGTAAGCAACTTTCGGGGAAAGACGACGATTCAAATGATCGATAAAAATAATCCAGAAATTCTGTCAGATCGTAGAATCGAAAGATACAAATGTTAAATTCGCGCTAAAGAAAAATCCACTTTAAATTCCACTCGGGAATAAGATCTTATAACTGATGCACAGCTTTTTGGCACGAGTTGCGAAAGCGAAGTTCCATACGCTTCTTGTTTCGCAAATGACTTCCACGTTCGGCTCCTTTCCCATCTCGGCTTTTCCATCGTGCCTATTCCTTATTTACATACACCGAATTTACGTTCCTGTTTTAACTCCTACCTGGTGATATATCGAAATCGGATATCTCATGTTCCACCCTAACTCCAGTTGATTTGGTTGGCAAGCTCTGTATATACAAGTCCTCGTCAAAACGAAACGGTGATCTTAGCCAAGTGGGATAGAGCGGTGTGCATCTCTGATGAATTGACTTCGCAAGTGGTCTCCAAACTCTCAGAAATTCTCGTTTAGTTTCTATCAGCCAAGTTTCCCTTCGGCTGTCTTCAGTACACCGAACAGAATAGTGCGGAGTAAAACTTAAATTAAGCGAAGTGATATTTTTTTTTTTAAAGGATCCCACACTAATCTTATGGAAAATGTCTTTCTACGGATTTGGTTAATTTTTGGATATGTTGTAATACTCTTCATTCTGAAAAAATGTCTCAATAGACATAACTTGATCCTATGAATCGTTTCCGCGTTACAAGCCTTGAAAGATCTAGATTTTATATGATTACAATGTTTCTTTTAGCGTTTACTTTGCGATTATAATCAGATATCAGGACAAACGCTTTTGATATTTATTTTAATCGATATCGTCTGATTAGACATCTCTGAAATTTATTCTACCAGTACTCGAAATAGACACTTCTGGCATTTTGGTAAACTATTATTACATATGATACCACGAATCAGTACCGTCAAATAACTTAATACTTAATATAACTGATGATAACTGCTTAAACGATTAATGAAGTTCTTGGAATAATTAGCGTAGTAGTCAGCGAAAGAAAAAAGGCAAATTGAAAATCTCGTCTCGTCCGATCTCGTGCTTAATATTTGATCGTTAATATGCGCGTGTGAAATTTATTCGGTTCTCGTGATCCACGCGATTCATAATTAAAGCATCAGGCTATGGCCGAATATACCGATACAACCAGTCCTAAAGAATTAAATAATCATCGGCATTCGGAGAACACCGACTCGCCATTGGCCAGGCACAACGAATCACTCCGATCGTAACTCGACGGCTATGCGTGAACGCGTCGCTCCCCTGACGTCGCCGCATGCATATTGTTGCATTAAGGTAATCGCTTAATCGACGAAGCCCACGCACATGTTTCGCGATCGCGCGCGAAATTCGGGAAACGCTTTCTCGATAATTACGATGCGCCTCCGCCTCGTGATGCATTTTAAATGCACGTGATTAATTTCGCGTGACCAGTCCCAGTCGAGAGCAGATTCTCCCCAGCTCGATGTGTTTGTTGCTCCGTTTTCAGCAGCGACTAAAATGTATGGCCGTACTTCGACACCGGGCCGCACGAAATAAAAAGATGAGAAAAAATTATACACGGTGTATTAACGTTATTTAATAAATTTAAAGCGCATCATCATGAATTATCCTTCACAAACTGCTTTCTTTTGGTGCAATTTACTTCTGAATTATAATATAATTAAGTCGGTCATTTTAGAAATCATATAAATGTAATTTTTAGAGAATTGAAAAATGGAAAAATTTAAGAAGTTGGTATTAGAAGTTGGATTGTATTTCAATTTTCTAGAGATTTAAATTTATCTATTAGAATTCACAATTAAAAAATCAACTGTGCCTTCCAAATCCAACTAGTTGATAGAGAGCTAATAGAAAATTCTGCAAATGTAATTATTTCCAAAGATGTTATAAAATAAGTTATAGTTCCAAAAAAGCTATAATATCTAATGTTATTATCAAAAAATATACATAATTTATAAAAAAAAGAGTAAACTCATAACATCAAATTTCAATATGCTAAAGTGATTCATTGAATGTATTTTTAGAAAATATAATGACAGGAAAACATAAATCACTATATAAATCAGGGTTTCTCATGTAAATGACAGTTTTATAAATCTGATATCTGCGAAAGAAATACTTGATTAATGTGGTTTTTTAAAATAAACTATATATTTACTTTCCATAATATCTCCTTATTTTCGACAAAAATTAACTTGAGGTTTCTAAAATAGTATAAAATTCATAGCCCGCAAATTTTTCATATTGTTACTTTGAAATGTTGATATTTGTAATTTCAATGAATTCAGATTTCTACAGAATATGTCTGACATAAGACGTATCTTTTGTACAGTATTGAAATTTAAATACATAGAGATTGTATAGATTTTAGAATCTGGTATCAAAGACAGCACCGCGAGAATCTAAGAACTTAAAAGCCCAAACGTAGAATCTCCATGTTGTTGTACTTCCCCTATGAAAGTCGCGTTATCGACATGAATCGATAACGGTTTAATTTAACGACTGCTTGCAGTGCGGATCTGTGTACTATCTCGTGACGGAACTCGCGACCGGCGGCGACCTGTGCACACACATTAAGGAGCAGCCGGCCGGTAAACTGGACGAGAACATGGCGAGGCTCTATGCCAGACAGCTGGTCGCCGCGCTCAAGCACATGCACTCGAAAGGAGTCGTTCACCGGTGAGTCACTCGTACTTTAGTCGCATTGCGCGCGAATTTTCAGGCGATCTTTCTCTGGCAACTCGTGAATGGTCCATATGAAAACTTCTTTTTAAACTTCCCTACAGCAGTATATGTACATATAGAAACAATTAATGAAGAATTTACATTTTTCTCACAAAATGAAAATTTTATCTAAAATCATAAGGGAGAAGTTTTAATTCGAAAATTACAAGATATTTAACGTTGAATATTAGCAAAAGATGGGAGAAGATACGATCAAATTTATGCCAAGAAGAACCCCATGCTGATCTGATCAGAAAAATTAAATGAAAGGAAATGAAGATACTTTATAAAAGAACTTCAACTCGCATTTAACTTATGATGTTCGTCCACGGCCGTGTTTCTACGAACAGTATAAATTGCAGATGCAATAATCTTACGAGGATCTGCTGAGCGCGATCATTTACCCGCGTCGTTTTCTTCTCTACGGTCTAATAATATTCAACTGCACGACGTGTCATGCCTTTTTTTCCAGTTGGCCGCGGTGATGTACGGCGTTGGCCGGCCGTATCGTTTAAATAAAGAAATCGTCCGGCGTATTACACACGAGGGAATATTTGCGATCGCGACCCTGGAGAGCTCACTCTCTCGTCCGGCTCGTTTCGTGCGATCGCACCATGTCGATAACGATGTGTTCCTGTTTATTACGAGCGGAATTACACTCGCGAGGATCCTTACTCGCGCGCTTCCTCGACCAGGAATGCTCCCTCGTCGGTCCGGTTAACGATTAAAAGCAGCTTCCTGAATTAATTGATCGGCAATGGGCAGGTTCTCCGTGTTGCGCGTGCACTAATTTTGTTAGCGTTTAAATTTATAACAGCGCGAATGATATCTATTTATATCTTATATCCAAGGATTATCTTGAAAGCATTTTAGAAATATTATTTCGAAGCTGCCGACACTTCATATTAATATAAAAAATGAATGCTGTGAATAAAATTTGAAACACAAGATATAATTTATTGCTTCTATTTTTTACCGCTTATTATATTTTCATATTATAATCCCTATGTTAGCATATTGAGCACGTACAAGCGAGACTGCTAAATTGAAATTGCGATCATTTTTTACGACGAATTCCTTTGCCCTTCACATCAGCATATTGGAGGATTTCAATAACACGATATTTCTCTTTAATTATGATAATGAACATAAATTCAATAAAGATGACTGTCATTTTAATCTTGCAATTAATCATAGATCGGTACATCAATTTTTATATATATTTAAAACCAAGGATAATCTATTTGTGTTTTGTGCATTTCTTTATTAATCCTGATACTATAACATTTATATACAATTTTTTTTAATACAGAACCTTACAAATATTTTCTAAACATATTAAAATATATGTGAGACTTACTTAATAATTTTTGTAAAAGTAAACAATTAATCTTAGAGGTAAAAATTTCATACATTTTTTTAGCAGTTACTGGACAATATAATTCTGTTTAATTATCTGAAAAATATAATAAAATTTCTTAGAATCTCAGTCGAAATATTTTGCTTGCAATTACTACGCTCAAAAGATGCGTAAAATCTGGATTTACTGAATTTACTGAACAAAAATAGATGCAGATGTATTTTAACTAATAATAATCTATCAATACTAAATAATAACTGAGCAGGTGTCTAAGTAAGTTGCACATATTTTTATCAGAAAAACTGCTTCAGCTGAATAGAATTTTTATTAAATTCTTATCCATTTTCTACGCAATATTGTTACAACTAAGAATCCAGTAATATTATGTAACGGAGTAATTTAATGGATGTTTAAGAAATGCATAAATTTTTATTAGAGAACAGCTAGAGATATTAAGATATTAAGCCAATCACAGAATTATACTAGCATTCTAACAAACAATCTAATGTTATTTATCATCATTTTGATGTAAAAATGATTTTAATATCAAAATAACGACTAATTAACTAGTGTCAGCTTGCTTAGATATTACGTCTATGATATTAAGGTATTATTTAACATGATCTTTAAAAAACCGACTATGAATGCTAGCTTGGAACAAATTCTAAGCCATACATTCGCAAAATCTGCGAATATCTGAAAAACATATCCAGTGGATATTCCATATACCTTGTATATCTCGCGTGCATTAGCGTTCCTGGCGTAGAAAGATCACGTATTGCAATATTTTCGGTGAGCATTGCGATGTCGTATGCATCACCCGGGAAAGGGGAACCGATGATTTTCAACATTCGCGAGGAAAGCATCGCGTCGTTTCCCTGCGAAAAAGGAGGCGTAATGACGTACGCACGTGACGTTACGACGTCGAGCAGTAGTTCATTTTCGTTGCTCACGAAGGATCGGCGAATATAAAGCAGCCGGCAATATGGCGTACGACGCGGTAGTTTGTTTTCGTCGAAAGCGTAAAGTCTCAATCTCAGATGATAGTGATAGATCGTCGCTCTCACGGACTCGCACGTTATAAGGGATATAGAGAGGAGAGACGGAAAGGGTGTTGGACTGCGAGGGATCTCGCAAGGAGGGTTAAGAAAATCGTTATAAGCGATCGCTTAACCCCTCGAGAGATTAGCCTGTTTCTCGTTCGCGGGGAAAGGCAAGGTTTCCTTCTAATGGAAATGGAGAAGATTTGGTGCTAAGGATAGTTAACGATCACTACTCGCGGATTCGTTCTTTTTTACCGCGCTATATATTCTTAGATTAAGACAAACGAAGTCAGGAGTTGCTTCGACTTCTGATAAAGAACGTTTTAACTCTTCTTTCTATAGCACGCCCTACATTATTTTTGTGTGATAGTTGTTTGCTTTTCTAAAATTATTCTTCTTCTTGATAAATTATGATACATTTGTGACTAATGATAATCGATATTCTTGAAGCTTTCTTCAATTGTTTAATCGAAAAACTCTAAACAATTCATCACAGATCTCAGTATATGTTGCGCTAAGATTAAAGATGTTTACATAAAAATATCTCTCATTTTTTTAAGAAAAATAACAAGAAAAAATATGAATAATGAAATACTATATAATGCGGCCTCTAGATATTCAATACTATTCTACAATTATTTTAAACAATTTAAAAGAAACCTCTTTATTAAACAATTTAAAACAAATAGTCTGGAAACTCAACGTAACCTCCAGATGATCGATAATATTGTGTTACATCAAATATTGTGCAATAATATTGATCGTCTGAGGGTCGCTTTAATCTTTAACTGAAGATTTAAATTATTGAATCTCTACTTTCTCTTCGCCTGATATTGTCATATATCGTCACATGTGTATACAACTCTAAGAGATTCTCTGCGGATTTTCTCGGCAAGGGATAGTTGTGAAGAGAAAGAGTGAAGGGGAGAAAAGAAAGAGGAATTCTTTGTACAGCAGCCCTTTTCACTCGGAACCACCGAACATCCACAGGCTCACGTTTTAATTCCGACGAACGCCTCCCGTTTGCTCTGCCATTATTCGCCGGACAAAGCCATGATCCTCGAAGCGGGATGGCACGGACTTCTTGTGGAATCCTCACAAGCAGGATTACGATTCCCGTACCATATATGCTATTCTAAATTCTCTCTGGAAAAAGAGAGAAAGAGAGACCGTCCCTTGGTGTATCCAATGAAAGCCGCCTTACGTGTTTATCGATACTTTTACTTACGCGGGAAACTAACTCCGACAAGTAGTAAGAGTAAACGGTAAAGCTGTAAATCGAGTATCATCGTGTTGCATGCCGACAGTATCCAACGAAACCGGTAGCAATTATTCTACGAGTTTGTCTAAACACCTATCTCAATTAATTGTAAGTTATTATCTTCTACAGCCACTTGTACAATTATTTTACTTCTTTTTACAGAAAGAGATTATGGTTGCTATAAACTTTCCTAGCCAATTTGTTCTTAATTTCTAAGCGACATGTATTCTGATCTGTGCAATTAAAAGAGTATAAAAAGTATAAAAAGAGACTGTAACGAAATAAGTTACCCAATAACATTTTCCAATATTTCCACAAAAGAGTAGGTATATCGAAATTAAGACTGGATATTTGCCTGCCTATTTCTTCGAATATGGATATGAAAAGATTCTACGAACTTATTTATGAGAAGTTCATTCACCGTTCTTGAAACCGTTGGAGAACGGAGCTTACAGTGCTACCATACGGTGTCAGGTCGAAGTTCACCGGTGCAAAAAAATTGGGCGTGTAGGCGGTGCATATTCAACAGAAGCGAATACCGTTACAATCTAAGATGAATTCGTAGCAAGCCTCTCTCTTTCTCTTTCCCTCTTTTTTCTTCCTCTTTCTATCTATCTATTTCTCCACTCGCCTCGCGCGCGGATCACGTGCAAGGCAAGCGGGAGAGAAAAGGCGGAAAAGTATCTCGGAAAGTATCAGCGACCGGCAGTAGAGACGTTAATGGACACAAGCACTCGGTTATCCGCTTAAGTATAGTACTTATAGTGCCTGTATATCCTTCGACCCGTTATACGCGTAGTTTTGCCAGTCCGGAGCTTCCGCCGGCTAGCTAATCGAGTCTATGGCTAGCTAATTGGCTCCGTTCGCTGCCGGTGACCTTGATCTTTCGCGGCTCGTTTTATTTCGCCATTTCTATTCCACTAACGTGCCCTCTCTTCGTCGCCCGGATATCGTGTCAATTCTCGTCTCACCCGCACGAAAACCACAATTACCTCGCCCCGAGAAAGTTTTTTCGTAAGGATCATGATGAACGAATGGATGGATAACGGATAATTACAACGCGTTCTCGTGCATGATAATTGAGATGGACAATCATGCAATGTGGAAAAGATATGACAGTGATACAGGAAACATATCTAATATTGATTACAGCTAGTATAATTAATTTAATTTTTTCGCTAATATTTCGTTAACTATGAAACTAAATTTTTTTATAAGGTTAATATTAACGTCGATATATGAATATATAAAAGATAAATTTTTTTTTTATTTATAGAAATTCAACTCTTCT